GATTATAAACTATCTAGTATTAAATTATTATTATTTAAATGTTTTATAAACTACTAATGGTTATAAAAATAAAATAAACAATATATCATAAGACATATGAACACATTTGTAGTAATTAATTTCTAATAAATAATACTGTAGTTCAGTATTATTTTAGGGCAATTCCCTCAATCTTACTAAAAAGACCACACAATCACAACAAACAACTCAAATCCATTAATTTACAAACACTGCCTTATTTAGTAGGATTAATATATATAAATATATATTAAGTGATTTTCAACCAGCATTCCATTAAAGTTACCTACTTAATTGAATTAAATACCAACTTATGATAATTAGGTACTTTACTGCAGCAGATACAATTCCTCGGTTATTTTATCTATGTCTGTTGATTATAATAATTTAAGTACTTTTACTTTCTACTATGACAGACATCTCAAAAATATCTTGAAAACAATTAAGTTATCTATGTACCAAAAAATAAACTATTTAAAGTTTAAATTAACATACATATGTTTTTATGGTATCACAAAGTATTAATTATCTGAATGATGATCATCACAGAGGTTGAAACTAAGGTCAAATTCAATTTAACACAATATTGGCCCTTACAGAGTAGTATAATATTATGTTATGTAGTAAATTTAATTTGAAACATTTAAAATAAGAAACTTAGAATTAATTTACATTGATCATTGCAGTTTGCTTCCAGTACTCACAATTTTAATTTCTTATTATTAAAATTAATTTTAGATATGTATTCTCAATTTATATTTATAAGTTTGAACCAACTCGTAACTCAAACAATTACATACATTTTTTTATTTAATAAAATATAAATACAATATATAAATTAAATATAATTTTATCAAATATTCTTGTATTTATATTTTTATATTCAAATTTATTTCTTGTGGAAAAAAAACAAGAATGTAAAATCATCAAATCTTATAACAAATAAATATTTTGTTTAATTTAAATGATATTAAGTTAACAATTTTATCATTTCCATTTAACCAAATGCGAATATAATTCTTACTAACAATTAAACTAGGAATATATTATGTATGAACTCGTAAAACAATGCATAAACACTATACGCATTGCTTTTACAATTAATGTGTTAACTATTATTACAATACAATTTAACAATATGTCCAAACACAATAAAATTAATATAATGACATTCTGTCGCCAGACACTAGCTGTAGAGACTGAAAATAAATGTGATGTTTTTGAGTAATATATATTATATAATGTCAACATAAGTAATAAATATGGATAAAAAGTAAAACATTATGATTGATTAAATAATACAATTATTGTACATAAATACGCTATTTAAATCAAAACATTTTTTTCAATACTAAAAAGTTAGCCTAGATTTTCTTTTCTTTTTCAAATCTAACTAAATTTAAAATAAGTAAAAATAAATATTTAAAAACATTTTATTAAGTAAGTTGAAAATTAAATTAATATTGATAATAATTTTTATTGATAAACAATAATAAAATAATAACTTAATAATTATACAGATAGATAATATTAATATACAGTTATATATATACAGTTTTGTCATTAATGGATTATTACGTATAATTGATGTATAATGATCATCTCTAACATAATTTTACACAAACTGAATACAAACTAATTAAATTTTTAATAAAAGAAAATCTGATCCAGAACCAAGTTAAAATAACAAAATGTTAAACAGCAATACCATATGTAACAGTAATAGTATCACTAAAGGTTTTAAATTATTCTTTCCTTTAATTACATTGTTTACATTTACATAGGTACGCCTTCTCTAATAATACAATTATGTCAAATGTCTACTAACTTATGAATGCAATAATAAGTTGTATCTCGCATTTAATATAAAAATGAGAAGTATGGTAATAATAACAAAATATAAACGCTATAGGTACTAAATAAAAAACCAATTAACATTTTGAAATTAAATAAAGGAAAATGCGTGTCAAAATTAACTTTAGAAAATTCAAAATATTTTGTACAAGTTATAATAATAACTTAACTTGCGATGTTATTAAAATAATTGAAAAAAAAAAACAACTGATAAATTGACATAAAATTGATACTTATTAGTTATTATTATAGGTAGTAAACTATTTACCTTTAAAAGCGATATCATCAATAATTTTATTTTATTATTCAAAAAAATACATCAATAAATTTCACCATTTCTTCATAAAAATAATTTAAAATAAACTATCAATAATCGACGTGTTTTTGATAAAATAAAAACCAAACCTCAATTTTATTTTTAAATTATTATATGAATTGTATTACTTTATCAACTTTTTAATAAGATATCAATGATATTTAACATTTATATAACATTTATATAACCAATATCGAACACATAAGTAGGTAGAAGGTAACCGCATCTGGTGAGGGAGGTAAAATATGCATCTAATTTCTTATCGATTACATAGGCTATTTTAAACTTTTGAAACACATTTACTACCATCCGAAAATGGTTTTTTCCAAAGAAAAAAAGTGCATCTGTTTGAAAACCAATCACCTTGTCGTTCCATTAGGAAACAAAAATAAAAAGGTAATTTTCAATTCTGTTTTATCAGAAAGAAGAAAAAAAGCTATCAAAATAAAAATAAAAAATTTCTTTTTTTCTTTTCTTTTTTTTTTGCATTACCAAGTATCACATACATTTTTATTTTATATTTTTAAATAAAATCACGCGAGCAACACAATGACGCGCATTTCGACAATATCGTCTGTCATTTACCAAACGTTGTATTACATAGCAACAGATAAAATCATACAATATCATTTTAATGCAACAACTGGCATTCTAAACGTTGTGCAAAAACTCGTTCGAAACGTACTATGCACACGTCGGAGCAATGCTATTTGTACATACATTTATGTTGGATCGCGATGAGGTACCCACTGGCAATCTATATAGTTTAGATTCCGAAATAGTGAAAAAAAATAAACCCGAGCAATAGTTCTCCTGGGAAATAATAACTCATGTAGCGGCTAAAATGAATAAACTGCACAAATAATTGGTTAAATATTTAAATCTGAAAACAACTTATCTTGAATACAAAATCTATAATAGTATTGTATCGATTATTGGTAACGAGATTATCGGTCAACACTACCTATTAAGTTATGTTATTTATGTTTTGAGTTATGTCCACATTATAGTAAATAATAATACACATTCCTCTGTTAAAATGATAACTATTATTTTGTCTTGGTACATCTTTATAGTTATTGCAAACTTAAGATTTCGTACAGAATATTTGGGTCACACTGAGAGGATAATATATTAAAAGTTAAACCTCATAACTTAATTATACTTTTTTCTTGTTGCTTTGAGATGAAATATTATAAGAAACTACAAGAGCAGATCTAATTTAGAACTTTGCTTTTCTTCGATTCGATGTGTACGTGACAGCCCGAATGATTCAGTCTGATTATATGTGATTTAAAATTATCTCTCATAGAAAATCTTATCATTTTGATTATAATTTTTTTTTTAAACCGAAAAAGTTGCTCTGTTGTACTCGTATAGCAACTTTCAAGTAAATCTTACAATTCAGTAGTTTATATTTCTATTTGTAACACGGTATGATAAATTTTTTTTTTCAAATACATCTAATTTATTATAAAATTATGAGTATAAATGTGTATTGTATTTATGTATAATATATATTATTATTATTATTGAAACGTATTGTAGAATGGTGTGAATAATTTTATGTAAAATTAGCTTAAAGCTTATTTAAATATTTTTAAAATATTGTGTATAGAAAATAATAATATGCACAGTAACAGTAAATTTCAGTTCCCTACAAGTATTATCCTTTTAATTATTACACCATAATAACTAAAGTTGTTTCTTTTTCATTGAAATTTGAAATTTGTGTAAAAAAATTGCATATATAAAATATTTGATATTCTTATCTCACTTGAAGATGAAATTATGAGAGATTTTAAATTTAATTTTTAAGCTTTTTGATTTGGTGTAAAAATGTAATTAACGCGTATAGAAAAGAAAAAATTGAAAAAGTAAAATGGAAAAACTTTTTATGAAAATTAATGTAATTTATATAAATATTCAATAATAGTCATAAACAAATAATTTTGGTATCTAATCAACTTCTTTTTTCCATATAAAACCTTGTATTACATTTTTGAACTTAGGTATTATAATTAAAAAAGCTATTATTTTTAAAAATAACTACAAATTCTTGTGACTTGGATGAATTCCTTCAAAGTTTATAATTTTAACAATAATCAAAAAAAAAAAAAAAAGAAAAACATTGTGGCTGTCTTTTGATATTTTTAATTTCTGTAAACACAACTTATAAACTATTATAAACTAACTTTGAAGTTGAAGATTAAAATTTATTTTTATCTAATAAAAAAAAAGTCAAAGAATAATAAAACCAAAGACTTGTATGATGACAATACTTTAATTTGTATCCATTAACTAACATGTGAAGTAGACCTAAAAGATATTAATAATATTAATATTTTCATGAAAAATAAAATAAAATCATCACACATTTTTGTAAGACACTTTTAACGGATATGCATTGCAAATTATATATTTCTAAATAAATGTTTATGTTATTTAAAACTTAACATTTATCACATCTGTCCAGTACATATCAATAGAATTGTGAAGTCACCACTCTGATTTCTAGGTTCGGTTATGGTATAAAAATAATAATAATAAAAACATTATTTTATTGGTAGCGATATTAGAAGAGGTTTATCAGCTTAATTACTTTTTCCCATCGTCTATAATGATATATTACTACCATTAAGCCAATTAATCTTAAATGCGAATTCCACGCTTATTACAAAAAATCTTTGTATGCAAATTATTGAATAGATTTGTTCTCACAACGAAGTGTAAATGATTATCATGACCCAACTACTACCTATTATATTTACACATTTGTTAAATCATTTAAATTTATTGTATTTTTTTTTAGATTCCAGTACGGATATGCATATCAGTTTGGAAAATCGAAAACAAGTTTTCGAACAAGCCGTACAAACAGAAGAGACGAGAATCGTATCGGGATCGTAATCGACAAACAATTTCGAACGTATAATATCTTTTCTTTACCCAACCCTCGAATGGAAAGCATAAAGGTATAAGACAAGACTGAAACAACTGTTATGTTCTCCGGATGTTTTATAAACTTGTCAAAATCTCAAAAGCGTATAATAACACTAAAATAATAATAATACTATACTTTAATAACAATATATAAGAGGAATATATAAAAAATAATAATATAATTATGAGTATTCGAAAATTTTTATCATTTATAAAAACCATTTAATTCCCTTGAACGGTTTTAAAAGAAAAAAGTTGAAACCAATCATCAAAAATATGTTATTTATTTGGCTATTTTAAAAACACATAATGATACATTTTTCTTCATTTGAATTAGTTCATTCCAACAATTAAATTATTGATGCTTGACATCTACAGTACATAACAATAATGTTAAATTTTTGTATAAAAAAAAGAAACTCTTAAAAATGTTTATTACTTTTGTAAATAATATATAATAACAAAAAAAGCATGCCACATATTATGTGAAAAAAAAAAAAATATAAAAGTGAACAACAAAAAAATACTAAAAAGCTTGAGATAGAGGCTAATAATTATTATAGTGTAGAATGTGTAGATACATCGTATCATAAAATAATTAGTTTTAAATAAATAAACGTTTAAAAATATATTGAATTAAATATGCATATTATTATAGAAATAATTAAATTATATTGGGTGGCTGTTATCTGCTTTAATTTTGAATACAATGTAGGTACTTAACATAAATTAGAAAATATATTTTTTGTTTAGTTGAATCGTATTGCTACAGAGTTTCTTGTAATTAAACTAGGTACTTTAATTTAATATAATTTGAAGCAGTTTTTTTTTTACTAAAATTAATTATTATGACATTACATTACTTAACCTGTAAATGACATGATGAACAGACATTTTAAAATTATTTTTTTATTCAGCTGGTTTTTCACACAGCATTTACCGAGTTTTTTTGTTGATGCCATAATGTCCCTAACGGAACGCCAAGTGGTGAGAGATGTACGGATACCTTTATAATTTATAATACTATATCTATTATGTATATTTGTTTCCTCGTCAACGTGCAAGGCGGTAGCTGCAGTTTGTTTGCCGTTTTGTCATTTCAATTATAAATAATTGCAGAACCCTTTCATTTTGCCATATACCTCACTAAGTTGAATTATTCTAATCGTGTTGAAAGTTACAAAAGCATCATTTGTACCATATAACTACTAATATTTCATCTATAGTCTGTACCAACACAAAAATACGAAGTGAATGAATTTTAATTATCCAGGGGACTATCTAGTTAGATCTTCTGAAATAGTAGTGTATCTAACCTTTAATCCGATGGTAGTACGGTTGACTGAAATGTCTTATTGAATGAAGTAGTATACGTTATTAGTATATGATATGCAGTGTCAATGTACATATAAAACTCTAATAGCTTTGATCATAATGTGTTTGTGTCAGAATATATCAAGCCAAACGTTTGTATGACATACGACAGTTAAATAGATCAACTTCATAAATTATTTTATAAAATTAACAACATAAAAATTTGAAACTTAATACGATATAGTGTGTATTAACATTAATGTTATATACGTATACAACGTTATGAAAAATTAAAATTTGCATCGTTGTTAGAAAAAATGTTTGCAATCGTTTAAATTTTAAGTAGATAAAAAATATAGTTTCTTTAATCTGCCAATAATCATTTGAGAATGTGTTATCAAAAATGTTCGCAATCCAGTAGCACCAACTATTTTAACCACTTTTTTACTACGTATAAATATACCAAATGGAGTCAGCATCTAATTGTATACACTAGTATAATATACTGCATTAATTATTTTATTATTTTTATTATCTTTATTTTTTTTTTTTTTTGTTTGACACGAATAAGAAAATTTTAAATATTACAATTGATAAAATAGAGTACAATTAATGCACAAAAACTATCTTAAGACTCTAATAACGCAGTATTTATGCACGGCAGTTTTCGGCGTTATTTTTTAGAAGTTTAGAGTTTCCTGCTTGTTGAATTGCTGCCACTCTTAACGTTGGGAGATTACAAAAACGAGAAGTTTACGCTACAAAAGTTTGTGGCTAAAGTGTCGGCTGTCAAACTTACTTGACAAAAAGTTCAAAACCGTATCGTTAAACGTTGTTTAGACAAAACATTTGGCCCTTAAAAATTCCCCCCAGACACGTTCACTAATTTTTCTCATAATTAAATTTTCATCAAACCAACTTCGAAAATGACTATAAAAATGTCGCGTGAAATTTTTCTTACACAGGCGCGTAAAAATCGAAACCAAAAACAAAAAAATAAAGTGTTAGCAATACAATATTTCACGTATCCTTTTATCTGCATCGCGCAGTTTTCTCGTGGTTAGGGAAAATGGTTCGTGAAATCAGATCGCCGGAAAAAATCTATGCTGACATTATATATTCTTAGGGTCACTGCCATGTTATTTGGCTACCCTCGCCAACGAATACTCACAACGTAATTTACCGACCCAATTTGGTGGACAAGGCAAGCTCATTTACTCCCTTCCCACGACCAGACGTTTACTACAACGAGATTACATTACGACGATGGTGCCAAAATGTCAATGTATTTAATCATACTACGAGTACACTCAGTACAATTATTCAAAATTAATATTAAAAATCATTTTTATTGAAAAATGTTTGGTTATAAGTCTAAATCATTTTGAAAATTAAAAAACAAAAATTACAATCAATAAGTAGTTTAATTTAACGTATTAAAAACGTGTTTATAATTAATGCAATTTGCTTAAAATATCTACCAAATCTCTACTATTGAACATAATAAAATATTATAATATAGTAATCACATAGTGACATTTTAAAAATGCATAATATATTACAAATAGTAACTAACAGCAAAGTTTTTTCAACATTATTATACTGCACGCTTCGACAATAAAAACAGTTTTTTATAATATAACGCTAATTTTATGTCCTCGTAATAGATACTATTGATAAAAAGATTCAGTTATTTTACTGGTGCACTTTTTCAGCCAAGAATTTTTATTTTTTAGTTTCTAATGTGGAAAATAATAATATCTAAATTCACTATTCACCTAAGAACAAGGATAATTTACATATATTAATTAATATACAATTATTATAAAAAGGTTTAAGTAAATAAATTATTACTTACAAACAAAAAAAAAAAAAAAACATTCAATAAAAAAATGAATAAAACAATAAACATACATTTTATACGAGAACTCATCTAGTTATCTAGTTGTGACTACGCAACTACGCGTGTATAATAAATGACTTAAATTCGAACTAAGTATTCAATAACATTAATGTACCATTCATTATACTATACACTATAACCTCACGGTTGGGGATATATAACACTGTTCTCCACACTAATACCCTGAAAATTCAAACACCGTTTAAATATTGTAATTTCATCTTAAAAAATACTACAACATGAAATATTTAATGTCACCTTTTTCGATATGTAAATTTTAGCGGAAAAGGTGATAATTAAGGAATTATCGTGATTTCCTAGTCATTATTGACAATAACTCGAAAGAATAGGAATTTTTGGATATTTCTTAGCTTTATAAATAATATTTCCGTACTATATTAGGCAATGTTATAAATCCGTACCAAAACAAAGATCAACACCGCTTTATCGGTGATCAATCTGGTTATGAAACATAAGTAGATACCTAAAGTATACTCGTTTATGGTAAATCCGATTTTATGTTATCATAACCTATTATAACTATTTTCAAGAACATATCTGGATCGCAAGGATTTACAAGATTCCATTGTAAAACACAGTGTAAAACCAATAGATATACTTGTCATGCATCTACTAGACTATGTAATTCTAAGTGTCATAACAGTTTACCATGTAATAATAAAAACGACAAAATATAAAATATTGATGTTACATAAACAAAAATAAAAAAATAAACAAAAAATCGTTGTAATATAGATAATGGTTAATCCTAATTTTTTTAATATTATGATTTATTCTAAATAGATTATAAGTATTATAATATATTATTCGGTTTATAACTTAATTTGTAATATTATCATTAGGTTTGGAATGTTTATGACCTTAGAAAGACTAAACAATACATGCAAATGTGCGCAATAAATATCATAATATACCCTTAAAAAAATTAAATATGTCATTTACATTATATCAATGTTTATATCATATTTAAGTTATTTTTAAATTTGCAACATAAAATTGAATATATCTAATTCTATGTCAATGAATTTATAACTGAATCTGCAATGTACACGACTAAAAGAAAAAATATGCAAAAATCATAATCATTCTAAATTTCTAACCCTAGTTATCATCAATGCCGTATTTTACTAAGAATTTTCAACAATGACTAATTATCGACGTTAATTCCTTACTAAATCAGGTATTATCGTTATTGACTAGATATTGTCAACATTGACTAAATGTCATTTTTTCCAGTAACACATATATATATATATATATAAATTGAATCAATTTTTAATACTCAACCTTATATATATTTTTATGATCTATCTCATTATAACTCATTATTCAGTTTTCGGCGATTCTTGATAATGATGCTCAAAAGCAATAATATAACGTATTATCAATTATAGTTAATAAATATATCCATGAACAACTTTTCTTCGAATTTGAAATATTACATTTATTTGTTATAGGTACTATAAAGTTTTCTAAGTATTATGAACAATACAATATTAAAACTTTTTCGATATTATTCTAATTATAAAATGCATTTTAAATTTAATTATTACGAATGTAAATTTAACAATGAACGCAAAACTTTTCGCAAAACATTTTACGTTTGGAAAAACAAAATAAATAGGAGAAACGTTTTCTATTTTTCAATCAACTTAAAAAAATCTACATAGGTCTACGAAAACAAATAATTTGAATAAATACAACTACGTTAGTTGCATGAGTTAAATTATTTAGATTACTTGAAAACACCCCATGTACCTATTACATTTTGATATTATTTGTTTCCATGATCTAATTGAATTTCATTACTAATTAGCATTACCCTACTTTGACTACACCTATCTACTTAAGAAACCGATGAATCGATACTCCAAATATCTAACCATATCAATATCTTTTTAAATAATCTAACA